GATATGGACATAAGGAGTTGAGGTCTGAGGTCGAGGTCTATAAAGAATTTAGATTAGTTAAGCCCCTGACCTGAGTAACATGACTTATGTTACCGAGCTTAACCTTAGGTATTTTTGTGGTACCATCAGCCTCTATTCCTCTACTGTTGACTATGAAGCCCAAGAACTTCCTAGCGGAGACCCCAAAGGCGTATTTGGCTGGGTTGAGCTTCATTTAGTATTTCTTCAGGATCTGGAAAGATTCTTCAAGTTGCCCAATGTAGAGCTCAATTTTCAATGACTTCACTAACATGTCGTCGATGTATATCGCCATTGATGCTCCGATCTATTTTTGGGACATTTGATTTACCAAACATTTGTAAGTAGCTTCGATGTTCTTTAATCCAAACGACATGACCTGGTAGCAGTATGTCCCCTGCTCAATCATGAAAGAGGTATTCTCCTGGTTGCTGGGGTCCATTATAATCTGGTTATACCCAGAAAGAGCATTCATAAAGCTAAGGAGCTGATGCCCAGCTATGACATCTACAATCAGGTCAATCCTAGGTAAGAGGAAGCTGTCTTTGGGGCAATCTCAGTTTAGGTCAGTGAAGTTGATGCAGAGACGCCATTTGTCGTTTAATTTCTTAACGAGGACCACGTTGGCTAATCAAGTCAAATAGTCTACCTCTCTGATGGTTTTGGCACGGAGAAGTTTGTTGACCTCCTAATTAATAGATTTTTGGCGTTTTGGGGAAAAACTCCTCCACTTTTTTTTGATGGGTTTAAAGGTTGGATTCACACTTGTGTGTGATGACTAAGAGGTCAATGCTCCACATGTCCTCATGTTTCCATGCAAACACCTCCATATTCTTTTTGAGGAATTGAATAAGAAGGTCCACATAAACCAAATTTTCTGGCTCCTCATCAAGTTAAATAGGTTACATCTCTTTTGAAGGCATTGGCATCATTTCTAGCTCGTCTCTCATATCAAGCTCGTCCAGTTGGACATTCTCGTCCTCTTTTTTCTTCATGGACGCCATATAGCACTCTCATGCCACACACTGGTCTCCTCGGCACTCCGACACCATTTTCTATGGGGAGCTTCACGACAAGGTGGTAGGCACAAAGAATGGCCCTCATGGTGTTAAGGGAAGGTCTTCCTCACAGAACGTTGTATGCTGAAGGAGCACTGACTACTAGGAACCTCACAGTGGTGGTGGACTGTATGGTGGATCTCCCATGGTGGGCACAAGTTGGATTCAACCCAAAGATAACACTATTTCCCCTGAGAATCCTAGGAGATGAGTCATTACTGGCTCAAGTTTGTCTCTGCCTATATCCATCTTATCAAAGGCAAATGCAAAGATGATGTCGACAAAGCTCCTATTGTCAATCAAGACTTGATGGATGGTTTTGTTGGCGATGATGACCTTTACCACCAAAAGGTCATCGTGGAGATGCTGGAAACCCTCTAGGTTTGCATCTAAGAAAGTGATGTCCATGCTTAACCGAGGTGCTTTGGACACAACTTGTACTTTTAGAACCTCCTTAGTTCTAACTTTGTGCATGTGAGCCATCCTAGCTGAGCTAGATTCCCCACCTCTGGCGAATCCTCTAAATATCACTCTGATCTCTCCTAGAGGTTGTTGATGTTGTGCAAGGACTTGCTGCTGAGGTGCTAGAGGTGGGTGAGCTCAGTTCTGATTATCTTACGTCACAAAGTTGCACAGTTGTCCCCATTGAATCTGAAACTCGATCTCCTTCTTCAATTGGATGCAGTCACCAGTGAGATGGTCATGATCCCTATGGTACTCGCAGTATTTTCTTGCATCCCATTTTGTGGGATTTGCCTTCTTTCGAGGTGGCCACCTCAAGAACTTTTCATTTTACACCTCATAAAGGACCTGGAACACTGTGGTTATGAGGGGAGTGAACTGTCGAGGTGCAAACCTTGGCGGCAACACCTATGGTGGTGGACCTAGGTAGTCTCTGATGTCTCCTCTCCTTTTCGGAGAGTAGTCCTTGTCTCTCCGCGGAGATCTATCTTGACTTCTCTCCTTTCTAGGACTTCGGTCCTTCTTCTTTTCCTTCTCCCTGTGCGTAGATGAGCTCCTTACCTTGGAAAAGAGCGCTTCCTCGCCGTTGATATACTTTTCTGTCTTGGTAAGGATTTTTGCAATACTGGCTTATGGGTTTGTGGAGATGGTGAACATAAGGTCTTTTGATTGCATTTCTAGCCTAGCAATGAAGGCAGTGATGGAAAATTTCTCATCAGGGACGTCCACTTTCAGAGATTCTGAGTTAAACTTCTAAACTTAGCTCCGTAGGTTCTCATTAGGTCTCTATTTAACGTTCAACATGTGGTAACTTGATTTTTGATAAGTTCGAGCTCCTATAAAGTGCGAGACAAAGGAGACAGAGAGCTCTCTGAATGATGAGATGGATGTCGGGGTCAGCCTCTTGAACCATGCTAAGGCTGAACCTTTTAGAGTGATGGTGAAGGTTCGACATTGTATTGGGTCTTGGTACTCATGTAGCTCCATTTGATTCTTGTAGGTGTTGAGGTGGTCTATGGGGTCTTTCATTCCATCAAAGGCCTCCATTTGGGGCATTCTGAATTTAGGTGAAAGTGAAAAGTACAGCACCTGTGCCATAAATGGGAACTCAGTTTCCCAAACTAAGGCATCCATGGTCACTAGAGTTTTACCTTTAGCAGCCTCCTTCATGTGGCTGAGTTCCTGTTGGATGTCTCTGGAGCACTGTTCATAATATTATTCTTTCTTTTCCTGCTGAAATGGGGGAAACTCATTCTTATGAGTTTCCTTATTTTTACTTTGCACTTCCTCATTGCCTTCATTCCTATGAATTTGACGATGGGCATTGCCCATAGTTTGACTGCGCTTATCTCCTTTAATTATGTCTCTCAGGGAGTTGTTGTGCTGTTGTTCCCTCTGAAAGGGTTCGCCTTGGGCTGGCTATTCCCTTTGGGGACGCTAAAAGAGATTCAGTAACTCCTCACTCTACTGGAGGAAATGTTGATTGGGTAGGTGATGGGTCTCTAGTTCATTGTTAGGTATGGGATCCACCATAGGGGGATCGACTTCAAGTGTAGGCAAGAAATCACAAGGATTTTCTTGTTGTCTTCATGCGGTAACTTCTTGTTGGTTCTGTAATCGAAGAGGATTCATTTGAATTTAGCTCATGTTGCGTGTAGAAACCATCAATTGCTAAAAAAAATTAATATATCTTTAACAGGAACAGTCGTTCCCACAAACGGCACTAACTGATGATGTTTGAGCAATGATGTAAATAAAAAGTGTACTGAACAATTAGATATAGTTCAGTCTGAGCTCCAAAACTCTAGGGAATAGGATTTTGGGATAAGTTGGTGATTACGCGGTGTGTTTATAGTGGTTTGTCAACTCAAGAGTTCGGCTAATCCACTCTTAAAGGAGTCTCTTACCCCTAGTATATTGATTATTGTGTGAAGTTTATAGAGTGTTTTCGTGAGGCTACACTGGCTTGTTTTTTACTTTCAAGGGCTTTGCCTCCTATTTATAGTTTTCTCTGGGTCTCGCTTGATCTAAGGCGAGATCCGTGCCTCTCACCTATAACGGTCGTCATTATTGCACAACGAGACTTGCTCCTGTTGAGTAATTGATGCTACAAAAAGGGAGATTCGATGAGATCCAACTGTCCTTTGCATAGCATTCCTTGAGACGTGGAAACAAGGAGTAGAGGTCTGAGGTTGAGGTCTATAAATAATATAGATGAGCTGAGCTCCCAACTTGAGTAGCATGACTTGGGTTACCGAGCTTAACCTTAGGTATTTTTGTAGTACCATCAAGTATAATGCAAATGAATAAAAAATAAAGTATAGCCCTCTGAGGGACTAAAAATACTTAACTTGACGTGATTAAAATAGGTCTGGAGCATAATGAGTCACATTGATTCTTTATCTTTTTAAGGGCTGATGTCTCGATACTGGCCCCCTCTTGAATTTCTAGTATAGTAGCTTCCAATTGTAAGTAGACACTATGTATCCTATGTCATCCCTACTCATGTGCGAGCGAAAGATGTAGGAATTTGGGATATTGTCTCATCCATGAATGGTATACTTAATAAAATAAATCTCCGATTTTGTATCTTAAACTTATACGTATGGGAGAATCAAGGAGTTCTTTTAGTCTTTTTTTAAACAGTATCTATTGATCCTACAATTTTGGGACACAGCATATTACTTCTTTGCCATGTCTCTAGTGGTGGGTTCCAGTTGTGATATGATCAACAAAGCTTACAAGTTCATGCTTGTGCTGGTGAATCGAACACAATTACAGAGCACCCAATAACGTAGGAATTTAGTTGAATGGAAGACGTTACCACAGTATAACAGATGTCAAACCCAACAAACTTATTACACTGGTCAGATTATTTTCAACTGTCCTTGATACATTCTCCATAAATTAGACTCCATCTAAGTAAGACAATTTTCGGTTGCACCAAGTTCTCTCTCTCTCTCTCTCTCCCCCCTTAAGTACCCATAGTTGAGACTGGTCTGTGTAATTGGGAAAAAACCCAGGTGACCGACATGCAGATAGCTGGTTACATCCACAGCTATGAGAGGAATTGATTAACGCGAAATCTCATTGTGTCGTTCGAATTCATTCACCTAACCATAGCATAATAATTTCACACCCAAGGGCTACAACAAAATTATAGTTAGATTTGATTCACCCACTTTAGAGAGATTTTTTTTTTCTTTTTCATTTTTCTTATGATTTTCCTGAACCTTCTGTCAAACAAACAAACAAATCTATCAATTTCTTTACCTGCAAGAATTTTTCCTAAAATATAATGAAAATCCTCAACATTGTAAATTAATTCTATTACCATTACTCCATTAGAGCTATGAAAGAAACAAGCATAACATTAAAATACATCCATGCAACAATTTTTTTTGAGTACTCAGCATAAACAACTTTTCGGACAGACCACTTTTTGTTGGTTGGTGCAATAAACTACACCTCCTTCACTTCCACAGCTTCCTTTCCCTTCACTCCCACAGCTCCCTTCACTTTCTTATCTCCCTCCACTTCTTCCTTACCCTTCACTTCCTTATCTCCCTCCACTCCCTTGCCTTCTTTCACATCCTCCTCAATCTCGAACGCTGACACCGGAAAAGACCGAAACAGCCCTGCCGGAGTCTTGAAAGTTATCTTTCCGGTGGGCGGATCATCTACATAGATTTCACTCAGAGTTATCCACAGTAATAACTCCTTAGTCTTGACACCAGTCAGCTTCTTGATCCTGTTTGGCTCAACATAAGCTGTGACTTCAGTTGCATACTGAACAGGCTTTCCGATCTTCTCAAACCTGTGTTCGGACTTCTTTTTCTGTTTCAGCCAAACAAAGCCCGTCTCTTTCACATACCCACATTCCTCTATGTCTTTCAAGGGTAGGAGGCCATTTGGTAAGCCCATTTCTGTGAGCAAGAACTTGGATTTTTCTTGGCAGATCTCATCTCCATAGTACATCTCTGAGGCACTGGCTTTGATCTCTTCTGTGACAAGAGACATCTTCTTCAACTTTTTTGATGGATTTGGTGGCTCAAGTAATCAGCGGTGGTAGAAGTTGGATGGAATGGGAAGAGCGGGTGGGCTAATATAGTTGAGAAGCTATAAGTTTGCCCCCGAGTTAGAGAAAAAACTGCCAAAATACCCTTGTAAACTAGGTAACCCAGAGGTGGGGTTGACAAATTATAACGTGATGTATCAATATGTTATGAAATCTATTGAGTATGAATTTAGTTTTAAAATGTTTCAACTATAAAATATATGGGTCTATACGGAACACAGCTATATAATGTTTAGTTTAGGTACTAGGAGAGTGGATTGAATTAATTTAATTCAAAAATAATATAATACTAAGTTTAAATAAGGTTATAGCAACCTAGTAGTAATTTTAATTAATCTCAACTCGATTGCTATTGTCATTTAACACATAATATTAGGTAGTAATAACTATCATATAGTAAGTGGTATTATTTTTAATAAGTATTAAAAATGCAATGACTTTATTATCCTTATAACTTTAGACTCACACCTTCATTTATGTAAATTCTTATCCTCAATATTTATTTTATAACTTAGTATTATACACCATTACTTAATCTAAATATAAATTTAGTATTATAATTATAGATTTATACCTAATTCTAACTTTGATCTAAATTAATTATATAATGATAAAATCAAATAGTACTCTTGTTAATACTATTTTATGAATTGGACGAGATTTAATTACTCAATCTCATTATTTATTTGTATCTGAACTAAACATACTTAACATGACAAAAGTCTCACAGAACAGGACTGTAATTAGTTATAGATTAAGCTGATTTTGGCATCGTATTGAACGAATCCGACAATTCACGTCCCGCCGTGAATCTTATTTTGGGAGGATTGAAAGCCTAATCATCATCAAATGAGAGGGCAGAATGTAATAAGGCCCAAAAAAGGGGGTATATAAATGGCCTCTGCTACATAGAGTTAATAATACGGTTGAAAATTTAAGGCGAAATTAAGAGGGTCGGGAGTAGTTGGGAGGAGCGACCACTGACACAGTGTAGGTATTGTAGTTGGGATGGTTATCCCCCAGTTGAGGTGATGTAGGTCAGTAGGTGGTGAGTCTAATACTTCGTATGATGAATTTTAGTTATTTGAAATTTTGAATATATAAATAAATATCATATATGGTAAAATAGAAATGATGAAAAAATAAATAGATGATTTTTTTAAAAACTAACGAAAAAATCAGTTTTGCCAAAATTGAGATAAAAAGTTAATGAGAAATTAATTATTTATGTTGAAATGTATATTATTTATTTATATATCCTTTGATATATACGTATATCATTTTTATTAATTATATATTATTTATATATAAATATAATGATAAAATATATATTTATATTTTTTCAAAAAAAATAAAAAAAAATTCTCATCTTATTGAAAACAAAAAAATCATCTTACCAAATACAAATAAGAAAATATAAAATTCTTCTCTTGTAAGATAAAATGTATATCACTCTCACTTTTCATTATTCTATTTTTTTTCGTTTACTCTACCAAACAGACCATAAAAGAAGTGAGCTGGTTATAGCTGTTGGTTATAGAAATCCGACGTAAAATTCAAGCTGAAATATTGGAACTTAGAACCACTTTGGTTGGACCAAAAGAAGGGAACCATTTTGGTTCGACCCGCTTCATGAAAAGAAGAATTGGGTCAAGTTGTGATTAAAAAATAGGGCGAATTACATTTAACGAAGTTTGTCATTTAATCATTCAAATCTCTTGACATTTGAAATATTTTACACAGGCCTCTTAAAATTTATACGGACGTAACACTTAAACTCCTGCCGTCAATATCTATTTGTAAATTACACTCAGACCCCCCTGAAGTTTGTATGCGCATAAGACTTAGACTTTTCAAGCTTAAAATATTATACTTCGACCAAAAATACTTCAATTAAAGACATAATATTAAATATTTTAAATTTTACAATCAAAATTTATATTCTATTGTATCATTTATTAAAATAAAATCAAAAATAAAAATATAATTTTTTATTTAAAAAATCATAATTGGTATGTAATTATACTATCTATTGAAATTTAATTTAGTTATTTAAAAGACCAAATTAAACTACGAAATTACTCCAATTAAATTTAGAAGATATTATGTCCAATTAAATCTAGATTTTTTTTTGAATTTATTTTAATAAATGACATAATAAAATATGAATTTTGAGTATAAAATTTATGTGCTTTTATGAATGACCTAGCCCCTTCTTTTATTTTTAAGTTTTATTTTAATAGATAGTATAATCGTATATTAATTATGATTTTTTTAAAAAAAATTAATTTTAATTTTTGATTTTATTTCAATAAGTGATACAATAGAACATGAATTTTGGCTGTAAAATTTAAAATATTTGATATTATATCTTCAATTAGAATAATTTTTTGTCTAAGTATAACATTTTAAATTTTAAGAATCTAAATATTACACATCTACAAATTTTAGGGGGTCTAAGTATAATTTATTAACAGATGTATTGACGGATATTAATAACAGGGGTTTAAGTTTTACGCGCAAACAAACTTTAGAGGGTCATAGTGTAATATTTCAAATGTCAGCAGTCCGAGTGATTAAGTGATAAATCTTAGAAGTTTGAATGTAATTTTCCTAAAAATATATGTGAATTAGGCCTAAAATGTTAAGATCAAGCATAAATAATTTTATATAGATTAAGTTGTGATTTTACCCTAAGGTATTAAAAAAAAAACAACTTTTTAGTACTATAATTTTACATATTTTTAAAACACTATAAAATTACTTTTTGGGCCCTAGTGAAGGTCTGGTTTTGGCCTCATCAACCTCTTAGAAAATTCAAACTGAGTTTAACCTCAAAGTTTAGGTGGGGTCGACTGAATCCCAACCACACGATTATCATCATGATAGGTCCTATCAGCCCTTGATGCGGAAGACCAAATCGACCCTAACTTCTTCTGTGTCTAACGATTGAAATTAAAGTTCATAGCTGGTGGAGAGTAACATGTGGCATAGTATTGTGAAAACGGTGGACAAAATGCGCCTAACAAGAACATAGCACCACACTGGGGTCATAAATAAGGTTTCTAAGTCACCTGCCTATCGTAGTACCAAACCCTCCAGAATGGCTTGGTCATGGCTCTATAATTATCTCTATCAATCAATCATACATCTTCTTTGGTAAGAGTTTCCGACCTATCTTTCCGACCGATCTTAGATGCAATAAAAAAAATATTTTATTATGACCTAAATGCCATGAATTACTTAAATTTAAATTTTCTCAAGTCTTAGAATGAAAGAAGTTGCATGCATTATCTTAGTGTTTTTTTTTTTTAATCATTTGGTAAGTTTTGTTTCGTCCTTCACCTTAAACCCAATAAATAAATGAGTACATCCATAGCCATTGGCTCAATTGGTGGGTACAGTTCACTTATTAATTTAAGTCATCATAGAACACATTGCTTTCACTATGATTTAGGGTAAGGTATAAGACAAAGAATCCTTAAATTAAAGAGTTCCAATACGACAAGCAAAATAGAAAAAATATGATTCTTACTCTTCTCTCCTATCCTTACACATCTCTTTAGATATCTACTAGTGGTGATATCATACTCATTTCTTTCAAAAACTTATTTTTTAAACTAGTCACTTTTAAACTTATTTATCATATTCAATCTCTTTTTTAAAAGATAATTTGAAATGATTAAAAATATCATTTAAAATGACGTTTTTAAAACTTGAGAAAATTTTGTAAGATAAATTCACTCATAAAATCATCAATTGAAATGACATCTTAAATAGTTATTTTAAACGGTAACCTAACTTCTTTTTTGGTGATATTTAATTATTCATCATGTTTCAATTTTTGTTTTAACTAAAAAAAAAATTGTGTAAATCCAAAACAAATTATTCACCATGTTTCGCCCAAAAATTTACAAACCATGAAAATACCCAAAAATGCAACTTAAGAATTTAAAAAAAATAAATTCATTGCATGACGTTGCGAAAAATGTATAAAATACAGTTTATCAACATAAATGAATTTTGTGATGAAATTAATCATGTCTTTCAATTTTCATTTTATGTAAATTAATTTGTCTATTTCAAAACAAAGTCATAAGTTCATCAAACTATGAGATTTATCCTCCAAATTTGTACAAACTATGTGTATATGAGATATGCTACTTATGCATTAAAAAAATAAATTTATTTCATGAGACTGTGTAAAATACAGTTTGTCAATAATATAGTTGATATTCAAAACAACATAGAGGTTAATCACATCCACATAAATTTAATAGAATAAAAGTGTCTGACGTATCATCACTTAAATCCAAAAAACTAATAACTTTAATATTGGAAACAAGTAATAAATCCTCTAAAATTTCAATCGCAGCATAGACAAAATCGAAATGTTCAATTTTTGCATAGGGCTTCAATGATCGAGGAAAGTCGATTGTGATTTTATTTGTATAGATCGTCATTTGGAATTATGACTTTAAAAGCGCCATTGCAAATGAAGTTTTATGCCTTATATATCCACTATTTGTTCACCTTTGTCAAGGTTAACAAACTTGAATATGCTCCGGTAGATGTTTTTAAAATTGTCAGTTAGAATAACGTTTATGAATGAATATATCCGGAATTGAATTTTTTTTTTTGAATTTTAAAATGACATTTCAAATAACGTTTTTAACTATAAAGAAGTCATTTCAAATGACATATTAAAAAAAAAAACTAGATTTGAAAATAACCTCAAAAAAATAAAGTTTTCACAAGGTAAAGAGTATCATTGGACCAAAGGTCAATTGGTAGTGGCTATATTCAGTCCATTTTTTTATTCTATTATATACTTCTCTCCCTTATGCAACAATATGGTTTGAGAGAGAGTTGGCGTGAATTGAAAATTATACAAATAAAATAAAGGAATTGACAATATTGACATTTTTACATGTGTAAAACAGAGCACCATGAAAGGGAGAATCACATGTTTTCCACTTTCGATAAGGCTAAGCACCTCCATGTTATGGTGCCAAAAATTAATCTAAACCGCTGATTTTAAATTAAATAATTTATAACTATTGATTAAAAAAATAAAAAATAATAAAATAACAAAAAAAAAACATATTTCGGTACCATAAAACTTCAAACGATTACACAAGAGTGCTCACAAAGTTTTTAGTGGTGTAAATTAATATTTTTAAATTTTGAGTGTGTAAATTGAAATTCGAGTGATTTTTCAGGGTGCAAGTTGAGATTAACTCTAAAAATTAATCTAAACCACTGGGTTTAAATTAAATAATTTATAACTATTGATTAAAAAAATAATAAAGTAATAAAATAACAAAATAACAAAAAATAAATAAAAATTCACATGTGGTGCATTTCATTGACTAAAAAGTGAAAATACAGTATCAAAAGTATATTTTGGTACCATAACACTTCAAACGAATACACAAGAGTGGTCAGAAAATTTAATGGATTGTGGCAGGCATTACAGTTTAAGGCCGGTATGAATCGTCACATTATGGTGAAAACTCTAGTCTCTACACCCTGGCAGGTTTGAAGTTATTGGCCAGCAACCATTTTGCCAGGCTTTCATTGTTGATTAGTATCTATGAGTAAATTAGGCCAACGACCAACCCCCAACAATGCAAGTACCTTACTTAGCCTGTGAGCCAGGGTGTTATGACATGTTTTGATTGTTTGGATTTGATTTCAATCTATTCGAATTCAAATCCTATATTAAAAACCCTAATCTAAATCTAATTCAAATATCATACATATATTTCATTTCTATAGTAAGTATCAAGATCCGTCATATAGATCTGACCGAAAATTCGATTTGATTCAAATAACTCAATTTACTTCAAATTTAACAAATTACATCTTAAATCAATGTCATCAATAATGGGTCAAAGTTTTCTGCAAGAAGCCGTGGATTTCAATAACTAGTATTTTTAAGATAATTTTCTATTTTTTCGCTCTTTTTTTAATCTTGTATCATATAAATTATGGTAGAATTAAATAGATTTTTGTTGTGTTTTTGCTAGAATTTGAATCAGTGTGGTGGATTTTATTCCCAAAAACACAGGATCCTAGTCATACAATTTTTGGTATATGGGTTACACAAAGACGTCACAAATTTAAAAAACACAATTTGACTATAACACGAATCCAAAATACCAAAGTTCGAATATAACACAACAGCGTGTCCTCGCCTACCTGTTAGTTGTTGCACGGTTGACCATTAAATTAAGCTACAAAAGTCTTTGATGTAAACCTAATACCAATTCAAATCGTTTAGATGGACAATTTATATTAAGACTTATTTTTTAATCACGATAAATTTGTCTATTTATATTTATCTTTTAAGCACGGTAAATATTATAACCACAGTAAACATTTAACATACCTACCATTTAATCACAATTAAAATAGTTTTACTAAACAATTTAACCAGAATAAATATTTTAAGGGAAAATTACTATCTAATTTCCTAAGGTTTGTCATTTAATCACTCAGACTCCTTGAATTTAAAATATTACATACAAACCCACTGAGGTTTATACGCGCGTAATATTTAAATTTTTACCATCAATGTCCGATAGTAAATTATATCCAAATCCCCTGAAAATTGTAGGAGTGTATGATACTTAGACCCATCAAATTTAAAATATTATACTTAGACTAAAAACACTCCAATCAAAAATAAAATATTAAATATTTTAAATTTTACAACCAAAATTTATATTCTATTATATTCTATTAACATATTAACTAACTTTCGATAATATAATTCATATTCTATTCTATTATATTATTTATTGAAATAAAATCAAAAATAAGAATCTAATTTTCTCTTAAAAAATCATAATTAGTATAAAATTATACTATCTATTGAAATAAAATTAAAAAATCAAACAAGGAGTCTAAGTCATTCATAATAGAACATGAATTTTATAACTAAAATTCATGTTCTATTATATTATTTATTGAAATAAAATCAACAATAAAAATTTAATTTTTTATTTAAAAAATCAAAATTAATATACTATTATATTATCTATTAAAATTTAATTTGGTCTTTTAAACTATTGAATTATCCCAATTAAAACTAGAAGATATCATGTCCATTATTATTTGACCCTTTATTTATTTTTTAATTTTATTTCAATAATTGTCATAATAAAACATGAATTTTAATTGTAAAATATAATTTTTTTATATTCTATTTTTGATTAAAATATTTTTAGTTTAAGTATAATATTTTAAACTTGAAGAATTTAAGTATTATACACCTACAAACTTTAGAGGGTTTAGATATAATTTACTAACGGATATACAAATTGACATTGTCGACAAAAGGTAGGTGTTACATGCGTATAAACATCAGAGGGTCTATGTATAATGTTTCAAATGTCAAGGAATCTAAATGATTAAGTGACAAATTTTAGGGGTCTAAATGTAATTCTCTCATATTTTAACCATGGATAAACCATACTTAATCTATATGTATCTTAAGAGTATAATTAAGATTCTCATATACCGCACATGTTCATTTATATACATGAGATTAAGCATTGAAGAAGAGAGTAAGTTCAGTTGATGAAAAAACAAAACAGATAAATAATAAATAAATAAACAAAAAACAAAGCTACATAAAAAGTACTTAAAATACCATAAAGAAAAAAAATAAAAATAAAAAAGTGTTGTCAAAAAGCACCTTATTAAATAAAATAAAATCAGCAAGATATATAATTAGATCACATTTGAGTGAAAAAATAAAAATAAAAATAAAAATAAAAAATTGTAGTGCTTCTATTTCTGAAAGAAAAATTTGCTTGCTCACTCTGTAATGGTATCAATAATAAAACATCAAGATACTAAAGAGAGCAGTGCTGGCAACAAAATCTAACATTCTAGCTCATTATTTTCACCTTCTATGGCAATTACAAAAACACTTGAAGCAACAGGATCAACAGAACAGAAATAAAGGGGATACAAAATTTCGGTACATAAGAATTCGGGTACAAATTAATATTACATTAAGTATAATCAATTGGGAAGTGCCTTTAAAAGAAATATACACGAAGGTACTTCTGGAATAGAGCAAATGGGTAAAGAAACACCTTACCCACAGTTTTGTCAGTCAATAGATAGTGTCTTGAATCTTGGGGATTCTGAGGGGATCCATCACTAACTGGAAGCAGCTCTCATTTTGTGATGTGTCTGCATAACCATTCCACTGCCATAGTTGTTCAACAAGGACTCAATGTGTTTGATTTCTTTTGGTATTGACCCAGTAAGAACCTGTTTCAGTAACATAAAGATTACTAGACTTGGATTCTTAAAGATCAGAGCCATTGCCATTAGACCAAACTGTTATTTTGACAAACTTAACAAAAAAACACACAATACCTGTTTCATCAAACAAACTCCCCCACCCCCATCTCCACCACATACACTTACACAAACACACCTTCTCATGCATGTGTGTGTATGTGTGTGTGAGAGAGAGAGAGAGAGAGATGATGATGAAGATGGCTGTTGATGGGAAGAACCAGGAGAACTGCCAAGTTTCTTATTTTATCTGGGAAAATGTTCTAATAGTGCTTCAAAAATATTTAATGAAGATCTTATATTATTTGGCAAAAATGTTCTAATAGTGCTTCCAAAATATTTAATTATGATTCTAATAGCATACGAAATATTATTGGAATATTGTTATAACATTCTCTGAAAACTGGCCTCACAATTAATTCTGAGTAACAATAACATCTTTTCGTCATAATATAGACTTCAAAACTGACTAAAAATCATTCGAAATGACTAAACCTTAAACTACAACAGTAATACGTCTTAGTCTGAAGTATACCTCGTAGCCTGACTCTGTAATAAGGATCTCGTCTTCAATCCTTATCCCAATTCCTTGGTACCTGCAATATATTTCCTCACTGTATGAGTTGGTTAATATAAAACATCCAAATGCCCAAAATTAAATGCTGATGCTTTTCTATCGTCATATCTATGTAAGATGTACCATTTAGCTCAGGAAAGGCACAAATAAGAACTCAAAGCTGAGAACTCAAGCCCAAGAAAAAAATGATTTTAGAAGGGGTGCACAACTATTATGACTTGTGGGTTTTCGACGAGTTTCACAATTCAGGCCGAATCCCTGCAAAAAAGGTTTTTCAGCTGTGTTGCAACGGCATTTCCACAATTTCTTTTGTGAGGAAGCAGAGCAACTCAAGCAAACTGCCCCACCTTACTACAACATAGGGACAGAAGGGAGAAGGTTGTGCCACTGGCCTTGTTATCCATCCCTCCGACCAGATGAATGAAAGACCGACCTGGGTTTTTGTGAGCGTCAGTGGGTTCTAGAGTGCCTGCCAAGGGCGCTAGCACATATCCTGGGATGATCATCACCACCTCCACCTGGTTGGTCTTTTCTAACCCAAAACATTGATGGATATTTCTAGGCTGACCTTAGAGCAATTTATTGCATTGGACGGGAAAATGGAGTTGAGATTTCCTTTCCCACATAGTCTTTCACCCATTGGGATGATATCTTTCTTTGTTGGAGCCAGAATTATCACAATTCATCACGGGTACTGCATTTTTGCACTTCCACAGTGAGTCTAGTAGAAGTGTTTCAGCAAAACAACTTAAATATCTTTTTATCAAGGGTACAGCATGGGTTTTTTCATGGGGCCATCATAACTGGCAAGTCCAACCCCATCCAAATTCCTCTGCTTGTCCAAAGAGGGCTATCACAATCTGAGCTAAGGGTCTAGCTTATGTGAATGATTAAATAGTACAATACGCAGGCTAACATGAAATCATAATTTGATATGGCAACACAGCTACCTCTCTGGACCATCAAAATCAGCTGGAATGTAAACTCCTGGTTCAATCGTTATCACCTGACCACAGAAACATTTGCAAGCTCAGTTGAAACTAAAAGAAGCTATGTTAGGTGCAAGTTGCCAATTTTTGTACAAATTAGTGGCAGAAGTGCTTCTAGATATCATGAGCTCATACGTTATTGAAAGTGAAGTCCAACAGTCTATCTTTCTTTCTTTTAACTTTTATATCTGAAAATGACAATGAAGTTTTAACCAACAGTTTCCTCAGCTCCCAGCATCAAAATACAACCAAATCCCAAGGGAAACCTTTTTAATGCCAGTCAAAATTTAAGGAGAACATCTGAATTAAAAACTTTATGTTCAGCACAATCTGTAAAATTTACAATAACATATTTGATTTGCTAGTTCTATTGCTGTCCACAGTATCAAATATATGTAAAGCATATTGACTAAAGAGAATTTTTCTGAAGGAATAGATATATTATGTCAATTGTCGTCTTTTGTATAATTAGTGTTTTCCATACCCCATCTTGATGCATCTTTCTTTCAATTTGATCCGAATATTGAATTCATGTTGGATCCAATACCATTAGCCATAACTTAGCACGAACAGATACAAAATTATAAGGCCTAGTGTGCAAAAAGAGCTTTTTCATTGGCTGTATATACAAAACAAGTTTCTGAGGGTGAAGTCTGAAAATATCAGTGTGCATGACTAATGGCTATGGACACATAATTGCATTTGGACATGCACCCAGACAGCGTGGGAATGATTCAAGTTGTACAATGTTGGTTTGGTGCATGGTTGATTCAAACTGAGTGAAGTGCACAACATGTTAAACTTCTCTGTATTTCGCAAAAACTTTAGTTAAAATACAACCATGAAAATTTGGCCATGCCGCTATGTAACCGGTTCCGGCAATTACCAAAATCCGATGCTGAACACCTTACCAGACCAGCATATATCCAAGTCAACATAACATAGCAAGTCCACAACCAAACACTAAGAAACTAATTATCCAGCACCAGGCAGAAAATAGTTCCAGGAAGAGAAGGTAAAATATTGCATAAGTATAAAAACATAAAATTGTATCTTTAACCTCATTAAATAGAAAGAATCAAATTGATCATCAGTAAGAAAGACAACTTACAACACCTGGCTTCAGTGGACGGTCATAGCTAATTGTAGAACAATCGTGAACATCCATTCCTAGATAGTGACCTGTGCATCACAGGGAACAAATTAAGCATGACCAAAAACATAGCCAAATGGATATTACAAAAGCTTGAGAAACTGATATGCTAAAACAACATTAGACTGGGGCTAGTTTTATATAAAGCCACATATTGCATTCATTATGTTGGCTAGTAAAAGCTGGAACATCGCAGTGTGAAAAGCAAAAAACCTATATTGGTTGGGTTCAGCTGATGGTAACTTGGAGGTTGATCAGTTTTCAAAATTCCCATCTCCTTGAATCCTTTGCGCAGCATCTCAACCTATGCCATGCAGTATCACAAGAAATTCATCTTATTTGCAGCCAAACAGTTTTGATTTTTGAAGCATCAAGCTGTTTTCTAGTTGATCAATAACAGCATATGGAAAATTAGAGTGTACTAAATGCATAGTTCAAAGAGTAAAGGAAAGCATATATTCCAAGTTGGCGATTCCCATGCAGACTGATTCAGATGATAATAGATATCAGTACCAGCTAATATTATGCAACTCGACTTAAGAAAACATTATCCCAACTAGTTAGTGCTTGCAACATGAATCATGTTCCTCCATTGTGCTTTATTAATGGTCAATTATGTAAATTTCCCATAGCAATCGAAAGGGATATAATAGGTTCAATAGCTACAAATTTCCAACTGTCACAACAATTAGAGGATAAAATAGTTTAAAAAAAAGTATATGTAGCCATGGGTTGCTCTTTGAAACTATATGTACTATTTAGCAACTGCAACCCATTTCTTGACCCAATGACTTGCAATCTCAGGTTTCAATACGCCCATGTGGTAAATACAATTCTCTGAGCACATCTGTAAAAGTGGAAATAGTGAAGAATTAAAAAAGATAAAAATGTTACCCGAGCAGAAGTAATTCAATATGTCTTGTACACAATAGAATTGTCAAAGAGACGAAAAATCAAGAAGTGTTCCATTAACAAGAATACAGAAGACATAAAAACTGGAGCTACCAAAGATGAGGGTCAAACGTATGAGAAACAGAGTATCAACATGGAGAGCAATAAGAAAGATATCAAAACAACAAAAGAAATGGTTTTGATTCAAACATGGTAAAATCCAATTTTTGAGACTGCCCTCCCATTTTATAGAGCAGTGACACACAGACCACAAAAATGAAAAAACCACAAATAGTTAAGGAAAGCAAACACATAGGTGGATATATAGAAAGGAAATACGTACATTTTTGTTTTTATAAAAATGTTATGCGCCTATTGACATCATGAAAGGCAACTTATTGAAAGGCAGATTCATTTCTTATTTACTTTATTTTCTGCAGCAATTATTAAAGCATCCAACTCAAAAACCATAGGCAAAAGGTGAAGAAGCTCACAAGACTCGCACCTAGTTTAGGCGGCATTTTATGACAAACCGAGACAAGATAGACACTTTTTCACACCTCTACTACTCGCACATGACAAGATAGACACAAGAGTCAAAAGACATTTGGTCAACTTAGGAAACCAGGTTTAAACTTTGAAGTTCACTTCCATTTTGATCAATCGAGTGTGAGGGGATTTAACTTTGCAGTAAGTTAACCTATAGGTTTTATGGATTCCTAGAGTAGGTCAAAGCTAGAGAAAGTCGTGTTAAAGAATCCATGGACTCCAACATACAGTAAACTGATGTTAAAAGTTAGAGATAAAAATCTTTCCTAAAACAACACCTAACAATTAATATTTTGTCCTCTTTTTTGTATTGGATTATTTTTCCTGTTTAGTGACACAAATATGTCATCCCCATCAATCACCATATCCAATGAATTATACAAATGTACATGCATGTGACTTGTAGAATAGAAAGGGCGCCCGGGGGATTCTTAATAGACAAAAAAAAACTAAAATTAAAAAGGACATGGAGACACAAAAAAGTGATGACATTGTTTGGAATTATGAGGGAAGCAACAATAACGGCTGGTGAAACAAATGGCAAGGATGAGACACATTTAGTGCAAAGAGAACATGATGCTCAGTCAATAACAATAAAATTGTGGAATAAATCAGAGGACAGCCACTTTGTGCATATAATGCCATAGCTTAGGTCCATGCCCAGTCTATCCTCTCAGGACCCTTGATTAACAAGGAAATGACTTTTATGAGGAAAGGAAAAGCACAAAAACTTGCTAAGTACATGAAGATGCTTATCTGAATTACATTGAATGATCAAAAGAGGTAAAATCCCACACTGAAATGGATGAGACCAGGGTAAGGCATAGTTATTCTTATTTATTGTTATCAGGCATAATAATTCTTATTTATTGTTATCTTTTTTTTTTCTTAAGGAAAAATTATTGATTTCCTAGGGAAGCCCAGAAGATAGCACGATTGCATATTTGCTAGAGGCTAACAGTAAATTTCCAAGACACGGTAAGGAGAATGAGAGGCTTTGGACATTTATTGGCAACAACAGAATGCTAAGCAATCACCAAAGCCAAGTACTCTGAAAGCAACCAAACAATTGATCCCTTATTATCATTTCCTATCAGGGGTAATTGCTTTCTATATATATATATATATATATATATATATTTTGGGGGGAAGGGACTTGAACCCTTGACCTCAAGAAAGCAAAACCTTCATAAGGCAAGGAGTACCATTGGACCAAAGGCCCATTGGTGGTAATTGCTTTCTATAATGGTAAAATGTTAGGATGAAAAGTGTGAGCCCATGAGTATAGCTAATGCATGCAAATAAAGCCATAGGCTAGGTTTATTCTAAATCTATCTTCCTTGCCTATGAAACTGATGAAACACAAAACTGTAGGCAAAGTTATGGTATGTGTAAACCAATACAAGTGAGCATTCAGAAAACAATTTTCAGTACAATTGAGACCATACAAGAGCACGACCAGTAATTATGCAACTGTACATACTCTGCATTGTAAGTTGGTGGAAAGATTAAATTTTACAAAAGCAAGAGAAAGAGAAAGATTTTTTAATTTTAATTCTTTTTTGGGTGGGGTTTGAGGGGGGGGGGGGAGAGAGAAAAAGTAGAAATTAATATTATCCAATTTCTTTCTTTCAACAGACAGTTGGATACAAAGCAAATTAAGAATGCAAGGAAAGCAGCAATTTAAAATCACAAGATCGTACCGAATAGTTGTGTATATCCCCAATGCTCATGCCAGGTTTGCAAAGTTTCACGCATTCCTTGTTTGTCTCTAAAATAAGATCATAAAGTTCTTCCTGAAAACATATCCCACTTTTATTTCTCATTCACAGTGCTATATGCCACTAGCAAGCACTAAGAAACATCTAGAAGGAAAAAACAGATAACATCATACAATTCCACTTATTACTCTTCAAATGTCAAAGGCACAATTAATTTTTAAAGGACAACAACTTGCCACTTTGTCATCTTATAAATATAATAGGTGTATAGCAAGGTAAATCACAGAAAATATAATTAGAGATGAAAATAGCAAACAAGTGACTATGTGTATGTTTGTGCATGTAAATATCCTCTATGACTCCCCTGTACTAGGGATTTGCCTCTCTTTCTTCAGTCCTGTCACTTTTACCTTTTGTCAAATGTAAGATTTTGGATTATAAGAAAAAGGCAAAGACATACCTGACCAGGAGAAAAGCTGCCAAAGGGTGGCCAGGTACGAGTAAGATCGCTGACATAACCATGCAGCTCACATCCAACATCCATCAAAACAAGTTCCCCATCTTTGATCTGTTCATACAAAATCAAAAATTCATTTATAAAAATGGATCATTGCATGCTTTAAAAGCAAAGTATATGATACAATCAAGAAACTTACTTTCTGGTCATTCCGAGAATAATGTATAACAGTACCATTAGGCCCACCACCAACAACAGGATTAAACCTAGTGAAAACAAGAAGACTCGAAAAATTTATCTGCAAAACCCTTGCTGAGAAACATCATGGAAAAGCAGAAAGCAATCACTGTAATAACATTACTGATGGACAGCAAACCAATCACAAATTCAAAAAAAGTTCAATGGAAAAATTAAGTTTATAAATTATTGGCAAAATGCCAGCATGGAATGTTATCTTTCCTTCTACTTGACATCTCTAAGTATAAGAATAGAGCACATAAATGTGGAATGACCTAGGAAACGTCAATGATATCAAGCCAAAGTGGAAAAAGCTTACGCCATTCTTTGGGCACCTCTCATTTTGCATTCATATTCAACTTTGGCTGATAGCATACCCTCATAAGGGAATGCCTTCGAGTGCAACATAGTCTGCAGAAGAGCCTATCCAAGACGGAAACATCACAACGGAAAGTATTAGATAAAGAATCAACCCATAAAAAATTTGCAAAAATCCACTTTTACAAAAAATTATTAACTTCAACTCAGGTAATAAAATTTGTAATGAGATTGCCCATGTAGTTTTCCGAGAGCTACATCCTCTACAAATTACAATTTATTGGATGATCTTTTACTATCTCAATCCATGCTAATTTTGGTCTTTCCCTTTAGTAAAAAGTATGACAAATGTTTTACACTGGCTAGTTAACACCACTATCCTTTCTCAGGGTACAGATTGGCTAGTAATAGATATGATGCCAAGTGTCACCGGGTATCAACTCGTTTTTCTTTTGAGGCTACCCGTGAAGGCGTTGCCACTGCTATCAGCCACACAACTCAAGTATGGGGACACACAAACACACACAAAGGCAACACAAATTTACTGGGACAATACTCCCAAACTTTATATATAGAAGCTCTCTACAATTTACAAGGAACTCAAAGTAAGAACACTTTCTGTCTCACAAGAATGCCCAAGCACCCTATTTATACAAGGAGCATGGCAGATGACACGCCCATCTGCGAAGGGGCTGTTACACACAATTTGCCTAGTCTCTAACAGACTTGGTCAGTAAGGCTGCCTCTCTGTGTAACACCTCGCAGGTACTTCCACCCATTCAGCAACTAATGTGGAATTGCCCCTTATCAGCATGCACCTAGACTAGAATGTAGTTAAGAACAACCAGAACTGCCTCCCTCAGACTAGATCCAGTTCAACAACTGCTTTGACTGAGTTAACACACCAGCAGCAACTGCCCACATCCTCCTAGTCACATCTATTGAGCAACCATGTGTCAGTCATGTGTCCACAATTCAGCAGCCAACCTTGCCCAAGAGCCATTGTGCATGTTGAGTCAAGCCCATGCCATTCAATTCGAAATCATGCACCAACATTGCCTCAATAGAGCCCACTGCGTGCTGTCATGCTCAATCGGATGGTCTCATGCTGCCATGATCTGCACCAACCTATCAAACCGCTTAACTGCATCACCTTGACTTCTTCTCATGGTGTGCGTTGGTGCAAGGTGCCACCAAAATCGTCATTATGCACCCAAGTTAGTTAGGGTGTGACACTAAGCATGATAGCAAAATCTACCATCTTGATAGAGGTAAGGAAAAAAGAAAAATCAATGAACTTTTAATATATATATATATATATATATATATATAAGTACATTTCACAGATACCACATCAACGATGACAGGAGAACATTTTTTCTACCTCACTGAGATCAATCCCTCATTCAAAAACCTGGGAGTCATGATCAAAGAAGAAAATGAATGGGAATGTGGACCTATTTTTATGGGGAAAGCCATTGCACATTATAGTTTTTTCTACATTTCCCACAGATATAATTCAACACGGCTAAGCCTTGTCCTAGCTCCTAATTATTCCGAGTCGGCTGCATTAGTCTTCTTCTGCAATTATGCCAGGTTTAGAGCTATATTTTCTATTAAGTCAGGCTACCATGTATTTTCTCTCATTCCATATTAACTTTACTTTTCCTCTATCCCTAGCATTACCGTCAATATTGTTGCGGAGGGGGAGATATAAAGTGGATCTTCCTGTACAATTATACATGTAGGTTGCTAGACACTACCTAGAGGAGAGGGGGGTTGAAAAGGTTAATACAAATTAAGTTTGGCTGACGTCCAATTTTAACCTATGTCTACTTTAATTACCTCGTCACACAATGATATGAAAGTTAAGTGTGAGAACTCCTTTTCAACCACCAAAACTCATAATACCCATGAAAATTGATGTATTAATTTTATCAATTTGTTAATTAACACTCAATCTCACAAAGTGATCCCAACCAAGGCACCAATTCAATCAAGCAAATAGTAAATCAATTATTATATCAAACACATAGTGCCCGTGTGTGTATCAAATTGCAAGTATGCACAAAAATTAACTAGAATGAACACAAACAATTTGTTGACGTGAAAACTCTCCTCGGAAAAACATCTAGGAACCATTTAGGGTTTACCAAAACCTAATTCACTATCTCAGAGTTAGTTTACAAGACACAAGTACTCAAGACTTATGTCACAACCAATACCATGATTAGACGCTTTTTTTCTTCAATAAACCTCTTCACTGGATACGCCCACTGATGTCTTGGATAATTTCAATTGAACTCTTTATCGCACAACTCTTCTTTTCCAAGGTGTGAGATAGGATAGAAATCACAAAATGGTAGCCTTTGAATATAGGGATCTAGGGTTGTGGCTCAAGCTTTCAAAGTATAAGATTGGCTGAAAATATTCACAAGAGACTTACCCTAGGTTGAGAAGGCATCCCTTTATTTATAGGCTCAGAATAGAGTTTGTCTTAGAGTCCAAGAAAACAGATTCTCGAACGACTGCTCGATCAGTGGATGGGCAATGGTCACTGGAATGAAATTTGGATTCCAACCAGAAAGGCAGAGCAGAGACCGTTCATGCAACCTCAAGGACCGTTTGAGCCATCTCAAACATAGGGTAGTCTCTACTGATTTTTTAATCCTAAAAAAAAAAAATTGTCCTCTTTAACATTAAAGGGCGTTGCCCAACAGGAGTTCGCTAATGACTCAATCTATGTTTTTAAAACATAAAAGAGATTTAGAAAAAAAAATTTATTTAAAGAACACCTAAGAGCCATACAGGATCAATCACCGATTCCATTTTAACACTAATCATCCTAAATCTAATAAATTAAATTAAGGGCTCTTAGATCCCTAAGGTAATTACATTTACCCTAAACATCGAGGTGCATTCGAAAAGTTTATTTGACGTAGCTTGAAGCATGATCTCCTCTCTTCCATTTGACGTTTTCAAGTCTTCATCGTTGTAACATCATGACCAGAATAGATTGAGATTTACAAGAACTTCACAATATTAGTCAATTACAAAATATGATCTAACAAATATAATAAAAACACTCCTCAATGTTACAATTAAGGGTCTTTATTAAACATCTCTAGACCATCTTCATCGACTTTCTATCAATTTATCCCGTAGAAGCGCTACTTTTACACCATAAACATGGTGTGTATAACAACGGGTTAACAAAATTTCCCTTCCTAGCTTAAAGAGTTAGACAATCACATGATATCTCTCATAAGCAATCTAACTTGACTCATCTTGATTTAATTATTTGAGAACCATCTCTAATCTCACCTTACATACAAATACCAAACCAAGATAACCAACTCTTCACTATTTTCTATCAAAATATCCAATATTCCAAAAACAAGTAGCTAGAAATCATGTAAAGAAGAGAATGTAATTTTGATCAAACGCAAACCAAGCTTAACAAATAAAAAAGCATTCGTTGGGATTCTTCTAGGTTGCTAGACAATGGAATACTAAACATACACATGGGTGTGTATATATCCTATCTCAGACAAAATTTCTTTTCTAGGGTAAGGTTCAAAAAAATAATAAAATTTGCCGCAAATACTTTTAAATTGTATATTCTAGAACTATATGTTCAATAGTTCATTGCAAAGGTTAATGTGGCTTATTGGTCTCGATATATCCTTATTAAGAGGTATGCATTGTTTAGGCAAAGTGTTAGTGTCGGACACATCTAGATTCTAGAATACAGACATGCTACAAACATAACCGTACATGTTTTGGATACATTAAGATAGGTTTTTTATTTTTTTGTATACTGCCATTTATGATACACAAAGAGGACAAGGTTTGGGTCCTTTTCAAAATTCTTAAAATGGTCTAGTAACTTCATCAACAATGAAATTCTTTTTGCAATTTTAAAGAGAATCACTACACCAAGGGACACAATTTTGGGCATGATTATGAAATGGTAGCTGCCAAATTAATCACAAACAGAATACCCTATTTGTTTGCAAATAATTTGATGATAATTAGGGTTTCTTATGGCGCTAAGAAATTGAATGAAGGTTAGGATTAGGAAGTTGGGGATTTTTTAAATTGAAATGCATTACTTACTAAATGTTGGATTATGGAAGATTACAGTGACTTAATAATGGTATATTTGACACATTATTTTTCATTTTAGAAGATCATAGTGTGGAATTGTGAGAAGATTGGATTGACTGATTTTTATTAAGATCTGTTTTTCATGAGCAACAACAGAAATTTGATTAATACAAGAGTGAATTACCATTCATTGAGGAACAAGAAAGAAAATGAACAAAAAAGACAAACCAAAAGTACAAATACAGGATTTTCCACAAAAATAGATTTCTAAAATACAGATTTCTAATGTTCAATTATTAAAAATAATGGATTTGCCACAAAAATAGGAGGCACTAACACCCAAAATGAAGTAAAAAAGTAAACTATTTCCTACAATGCAATCTCAGCATCAAACTTATCTTTAAAGATTCTAACATGTTTTTATTACCATAAGACTTAAAGGGTTGCCATCATTGCATGTCTTCAAATGAGACATGCCTTCTTGCTTTTGGCAAACCCTCAAAACTCAACCACAAACACTGCCTCACAAGAAAATGGAGAAACACAAATACTCCCTTGCAACGAAAACAATCTTCTCCATAATAATAAGGTATCGGGCTTATCGGGATATACTTATAGACAGATTGATGTAAAATGTTAGAATTGCTGCATTAATGACTTGATAGCTGATGTCTCACAATTTGTGCATTTGTTACCTCGTAATTTGATTGAAAATGTCAGCATTTTACTATATGATCAGAGGAAACATAATAATTATATTATTTAGTGTGTCCCCCAACATGTTGGAAAATTCAAATGTTGTCATGTTCATGTCATGTTGTATTTGTGTCCGTGTCCGTGTCTATGTTCGTGTCCCTACTTCTCAAATGCAAACAAAATGTACAATAATTAGCTTAATAATCTATTTCATTTTAATGAACAGCTGTAGCATAGAAAGTCAATTGGTCTAGTTATATGTTGATCAGTTTACTTGTACAGCTATAACAAAAAACTAGTTTTGTTCTGATTAGATATTATTATAGACCAAAAATGTGTCTATACTACCTACACCAGTTTAGCATTTTTATCTTCATGATTTCAACATGAAAGCATGCTTTTATTTGTATTCCGTATTTAACAATACCTACTTTATCACAAGACAGAAAGTGAGGAAATATCTTCAGTCAGGAAAAAAAAAAAAAGGCACATCCAGATTATAAGCCTATCCATTAATGCAACTAACATAGTTGAGAACAACTTAATGTACAAGTACCTGGCAGGCTATTGACGCAGAATCTCTCATTAATTTAAGCTCAGATGCTGACTTTATCCATCGTGCTTCATGTATGTGAGGAGAGAGATCTTTCACTTTTCCATTGTAAGCCAGTTTCTGAAAAGCCTCCAAATCCATGTAAGTCGGTATGGCTGTCTTCACATTATGAAATAATTTTGACGAATTTCCTAGCATTTTCGGAAGGATCTGCAGCAACCAACAAAGGAGTATGAGCAGCTTCGTGAAGGTAGCATACCCCGCCATCATCGTATTTATAAGTGGATCTAAATTGGATGACCCAAATCGCAAAAACTGTCGCATGTTTTTTTATTAATCCTCTCATTATTTATAAGACACGTATCAAAAAAGCCAGCATCAATATCTCTTAAGGAATACAAGCAGAACTGTTATTGCCAAATGCAGTAGGCACTTATTCAATGGAGAAGACATATCCACTTTGCCTTTCTGTGTGCAAGTGAAATTACTATAGAGGAGTCAAGAGGGCAGAATCCATGTAAAAGGATATATAAAGAGCAGAAAAAACATGAGAAAAGAGAAGAAAAAAGAAACAAAAATGAACAATACTCAAAACAAAGGTGGCAAAGAAATCCCAAAGAAAACAACACTCAATCATCCCTCCAGGCCTCCCAAAAAATCAAATTCCCCGAAAAGCCAAGGATAGAAGGTTCTTGCCATGGACACGTCATTTTGAACCACAGAGTCTTGTCTTTAGGAAAAAACCCATGCCAATCAAAAAGACTTTCAGATCACGAATAAAGTGTCCATAGTGGACATCAAGTTATGTTATATGGGATTAAATAGCAACCCATGGGCCTTAGTTTTGGTAATTTTTTGATACTTTGTTGTTCTCTGTGGTCTTTGTTAGATCTGGAATGCTATTGGTAGTCAAAGTTCCAAAATTTTGGTTTTTTGGACTCTTCATCCAAGTTGTTTATGCAACCTTCAAGTTCAATAGAATTCAGTCTTGTGACCTTGACAGTCTTTTGAAACTTCGTGACTTTATATGTTTTATGAAGTTTGGTTTTCGAGCTCCTTTACTGAACCCAATTAGGTGCATTTCATTTCTTCTTTCAAATAAGCAATTAACAGCATTTTGAACTGTTGCATTATTAAGGTCCTTGAGTAGACTAAAAATCTACTCAGTAAGTAATGCACCCAGACCTATGTCCCATCAATGATTCAAACAGTGCATGTCTCCCTGTCAGGGTGCCAGGCAAATGCCACTCAAGGTAACAGACGGTGCTTAAGTAAGACTATGGTAATGGTTAGTGGTAATTTTAGAGCATACACTGATGTATACAAAAGAAGGTTGTGGTAAGTCTGAGACAAGAGCTGTGAGATTTGAGAGTGATACTCTACTTCTACTTCCCTTTATCAATGTCTTATCCTTAATCCACCACCATCTATTCTTCTTTAAGTAGTTAGCTCTTCATTTGTGACCTAGACCTCTTTCTGTCCCAAAATCACTATTACTACCAAATTTTGTCTGGATATGACCTCAGACAATTATTCAAAATGCAACTTGAACTCAAAAGGTTATCCTTACCCCCATTCTATCACCTCTCTGTAATTACTTCAGCTGTTATACTCAAACATTTATAGATTACCAAATGATTTTTTTTGTTTTGGGTAAGTTAGATTAGCAAACTATTGAGGAAATCGTGAGTTTGAAAAAAGGTGCTGTCACAGATGAGTGTAGAACAAAAGCCTGTCTTCAATATCTGCCTCTACCTCGCGCAATTCTAAGTATGGTAGCCATGGCGTTTTAAAATGCAACCTTTTAACTTTTTCCCCTAGTTTTCAGAATTATCCAAAATAAATGAACAGTCACCTGATGTAATTTATCAATGGGAAATGATTGATCAGCCTTGAATGTGTCTAAAGCTGCACCGACTCCAGCCGTTTGACCTTGCCAAATGACATCCTAAAAGATATTTCATAAAAATTAGCCAGATATCAAATTGCTGCATTCCAATGTGCATTACAACCTCTATATGCATGGCACCCATCCCATATTCATGTAAAATATATGCAGGACATCCCTATACGCAGAGAAGGTAAAGCCTCCATATGTTTTCCAATGCACAGCACAATCTTTCATCCTACACTCTGGGCACATACCTGAGAGCTTGCCTCAGGCATAAACATACATAAACCACAGTCGTGACCTAAAACTGCTATGCCACCAGGTTGTTGGCAGCCAGTGATGTACAAGTAATCAGCATCTTGTCTAAAAGTGTAAGGCACGACATCGGTCATCATCTTTACTTGGGCAGCTGCAATTATAGCTAAACTCTTCTCTGGAAGAAGCTCCAATAATCTCTGCCTTCTTGAAATATATTCCTCACTAGTTATGCCAGGTGTGATATACCCTTCATTTAGTAACTAGGATCACAGACAAGGGTAGTTAAAATTTGAAGAAAAATAAAGTTTTGAACAGCAGGATAATAACAGATGCTGCGTATCAGTACCTCAGGGTGAGTAACAGCAGTTGGCTGCCCCACATCGTAAACCTTATTAATAGAATATGCACGGGTTTTGGCTACCTGCAATGCCCAATTCATCAAAAACTAACATATTTTCAACTTGAAAATAAGTGTGAAAGAGATTTTGCACAATTTTTCATGCAAAAAGGGGAAATTCAATTGAGACCCACCACCAGTTCTGATCTATCCACAACGTTTTCTGATAAAAACAAAGGAAAAATGCCAAAATTTCGGTGGAAGATATATAAAATGCAAAATTTTATACTTGATTGGAACAGGCAATTAGTGATCAAAGGCCGAAACTTACATTTGAACAAATCCCCCCGACAGTATGGAATGAATAAAGAGTGGACTGAACGACAACACATACACTTTTTTCTATCAAAAGCATAATATTATCTGAGTAGGTATCAGAGTTGAACCGAAAGCTAAGGTCATGTGTAAACCAAATTGAAAACTAACTGAAGCCCTTGATTGAGAATGATGTGAATATGGAACACGCGTACTCATTGGGAAGTAACCATTCAGTGAATCAATCGAGAGACACAAACATTAGTACGTACAATCACACACATAAGCATACAAATGATTGGAGTTTTTAGTACGAACTTGAATGAATGAAGATAATGAGTTTCTCTGCAGTAGATTTCTTCGGAGAACCTGCATTATTTTGCTTCCCGCCTGCCCGTACGACCTTCGGTACCAGAATATGTTTGCTTTTAACAATTACAGGGAATCTCTTCAACTGTGTCCCAGTACTAGTTTACCCCCAAAGGAAAACAAAAAAAAAAAAAGGGGTTTTGGGCCACAGCTTTGATATTGGACTTTTTGTCTCTATATCCGGGGAAGTCGGAGGCCGGTCCTGTATGAATTTATTTAGACTTAAGTCCGTTAAAAAAATTTATTTGTTACGAAAATTTTATCATATTATCTCTTTTTTTTAGAAGTAAAATAAAATTAAAAGTTAAAACTTCTTAATCTTAGAAATTTGACTAACATTTAAATATTTTCTCTCTAATATCTATCTATATTCATATATTGGTTAAAAATTTGACTAACATTAAAATTTTTTATCGCTCATATCTATCCATATTCATATATATATATATATATATGAATATGAATATATTTATATAATAAAGTAGAACGAAATTTGAATCCAAAAGATAAACAGAGGTCCAGATCGTTTAGAGACAAAATATAAACGCATCCAACGGACAACGTAATCCTAACATAAAAGATTGTTCAGATCATCTCAAAATTTTTGATCTAATGGTCTACAGTTAATCCAAATTTTCTTTTTTCACCCATGAATAAGCCTCTTATCATAAGACTCTACACTCCTATCTCTCATACGTTTCTATCTTAAATTTGAAAAAATATAATAACAACTCAGATTAAATTATTTTAAATTAAATGATCTAAATGTTATATGTTATATATGTACCTTGATTTAGGTTGGTTTTGTTTATTTCTAATTTTACGATAAAATTTTATATAAAATTAAAAATATTTCTGTTAAACACACATAAAATACATAATATCTCTAAGTTTAGTGTTTCTTTTTCAAAGTTTGACAAATTAACATTCGACCCCAATAACCGCATACACACCGTCACTGCAACACAAAAATCAGTACCCAAATGGACAATGTCACCATTTTTGAACATGTAAGTTATTTAATATATCGATTTTTTTAAAACATTTTGTATAATATGTCATTAAAAACCATTATATTCTTACTATATAATTTTTCATCCTGCTTATTACAAACTGATTCACACCTAGAATACACTGTAAGTAGATCTTCTTATCACGCATCTTAGTAACAATGATTGATATTTACTTCTTACTTTTTATCAATCAATGAGGTTGAAATTATCTTTCTAATCCATAAATAAAATCATCAAGTTATTATTCATACCAAAAATAAATCACTAGTGTATGAAAACATATAGTTCTTATAAAATTAAAAAAAAAAATTCAAAACCCAAGTTAATCAGCAATTAAAAAAAATAAGTGACCAATACAAAAAAAATAAGATATCAATTGCACTAACAAAAAATTTTCAAAACCAATCTAATCAATATGTGTTCAAATTATTCAAACATCCTATCTTTGTGTGTTGAAATTTTATAAGTAACGTAGTGTCTTCAGGCACGGGTAATGACTAGTCTATATAATAAAGTATCTTACAATTCAAATTTCAAAAGATAAACAAAATGACTTTTGCTATTCGTGGTTAAGATCGCTTTAAATTTTATTTTAAAATTAATCTAACGATTAATATTAACAACCTAAATTTAATAGGAAAAATAGGCTCTTAAGGGTGTGTTTGAAGTAACTTTTTAAAAGTACTTCTAGAAATTATTTCTCACAAAAACTTATAAAAATATAGTGTTTGAAACCGCCCCACCACTACCTCTACCACCACCGCTACCACCACCACCACTGTCGTCGCCGCCGCCACCACCACCGTCGTCGTTGTCGTCGTCATCGCCACCACTACCACCGCCACCACCACCCCAACCACCACTGTTGTCGCCACCACCACCATCCCCACTACCACCACCGTTATCGCCACCACCACCGCAGCCGTCGCCAAAACCACCACCTCCCCACCACCACCACCACCATCACCATTGCCACCACAGTCATTGTCACCCACCACAAGCATCACCATCTCCTACTATTACCACTGCCACCCACCAACTCTCATTCCCATTACAAATCGATGCTTAAATTTTTTTATCTCTTCCTTATGTTTATGATTTGATTTTGGATATGAATACAAATATGTTTATTGTTTATCATTTTTTATTACTGTATGCCTGCAGACACAGGCAATAACTAGTATATACATATAGTAACATTAAAAATATAAAATAGTAACATTCAAATACAAAAAAAAAGAAGAAGTTATCATTTGGACACAAAAACTAATACATTTATACACAAAAAAATAGTAACATTTAAACAAAAAAAAATAGTAACATTGAATATTAATATTTAGAAAAATAATAGTAGTAACATGCTCAACAAAAATAATAACATGCTCAAACTAATAGTAACATGAACAGTAACATACTCAACAAAAGCAGTAACATGAACAGTAGCATAATAAAAAAAATAGTAACCCAAAACATTCAATTTAACAAATTAACCCCCATGAAAAATACCACAAATTATAAAAAATAACAAATTAATAAGGACTAGAGATTTTAATCCATTACCCACAAAATTGACATAATTCATAGAAAATTAAAAGATGAACATTGATGAAACAACGCCACTAGGTGGAGAGAGAGAGAGAGAGAATTTTGAATTTGAATTTTAAATTTATGAAAGAGATTTTATTGGCATATCTTAATTGACATTGAATTAAGGGATAACTATATCCAAAATAGGAAATTAATTGAACCTCATTTCAAGGAAGGGTATTTTTGAGATAAAAAAAAAGTAGACTTAAGTCATTATATATAATTTTAAACATGGACTTAGCTTCTTATAAGTTTTCTTATAGGACTTATCTCCAAACAAATTCATCTATGGGGACTTACTTCCAATTTTCACTTAAGTCTAATTTAAAAGATTTTGAGCCCTAAAGGCCACAAATAACTAATTGGATAAAAATATTCTTTGCGCCTTTTTAATTCATTTAAAATCAAATGCTTCTTACCATTATTCTTACACAAAAACTAACACAATACCTTCAAAAATATTCTTCATTGAACGATTCTAAGGTTCTAGTAATTTTTTGGTGGCCAAACTCATCTGCGCAATAAAAAACTATTAGAAAAAACCTTCTTTAATATCTCATTTCAAAAATCGCAAGAGACTAGGGTTTAAAATCCTCTAGAAAGAATTTATCACGATTCAGGTAAGTAAATCTTGCTTTATTGAATTTAAAAGTTAGCAAACAGGAAAATTTTTATATATTCTTATTAATGTTCTATATTTTAATCTATTTTAGTATGTTAACTATGAATAAAAATGAGACTTTTGAAAATATAACCAAAAATTGCATAACAAAATGGTGAGTAATGTATTATTAAGTTTTTTAAATACAAGCACAAAATTAAAATCAGTAAAACAAAAGCAAAAAATGAGTAAAACATGAAACATTAAAAAATAATCATGTCCATATTTTAATGTTAATTTTAGATTTACTTATTGTTTTAGTTTAATTTATTGTTAATCTGGATATTTTACTTATACTCATATGTTGCAAAAAATTACTGTAAATAATAATTCAAAAGTTTGTATTATTGTTAAATGCATTAAAGTAGTAAAATATATTATGTGCAATATTTGACTATTTAATAATGTATGGGACAATGTGTTCAACTAAGATATAATTTAATCTTCATTTTAAATTTACTTATTTTTGTAATTGACTGTATTGTTAATCAACATATTTTGCTTATATTTTGATGGGTGCACAATATTACATATTTTATGTCTCATATAACTCATTTTACCTTTGTTTGTTAGTTATATGTTTTGTTTTACTTTAGTTTTAGTTTTATAAGGAATTTTTGTATGTATAAGTAATTCAAGGTAAAAGCAGCGATTAACATTCATTTTTATATTTTGGAAGACTTTGAGAATGAGCTAGGTGAGCTAGACTTAAAGCTAGGAGCAATGCAATTCAAACTCAAAACAAAAGAAGTTTAACTGGTAGGTTTTCTACCAGTTAATGTGTGACACTCCAAAATCCGAGGGTCCGTTGATTACTCATCAACTAGCGGAATATCCATGAATATCGAGTAATTCGATATCACACCGTTATGACCCATTTACCAGGGTCTATAATTTTAACGAAATTCGGACAGAGTCTCCTTTGTACGGGGAGCTCTACCCAAAATTCAACTTGTGTAATATACATTCACACGACCCATCTGAGACCCAATATAAAACAATGATCACACCGAGTCCATTTATGAGTAAACATTGACCACACCGGGTTTATTTATCCATATTCATATAGATACATGCAAGGTTATATTAAAAATAGTCCATATAAGTACGATTACAATTTTTTTAAATACATTACATGCCCAAAACTAACTTTGCAAAAGTTAGTTCAAAAAAAAGACTAAAAGCAACAAGTCGGCCTCTCTTCACCCTTGAGGCTCTAAATGAGAGCCGTTCACCGGTGTATATCCTGCACCTGAAATATTTTTTCTTATAGGGTGAGCTACGTTCAATAGAGTATCTCCTACAAAGGCTACTCCCCAACCTAGATGCATATGAAATGTGAACATGCAACAATCAACAACCATTATCCATTCCAAAGAAGAACATGTAATTCAAGATTGAAATTCTAACATGTCATGTCATGATATGAGATGATACTCACTCATGCAACTTCAATCCGAGTCCTCACCG